TTTATTTTAATTACTTCCACATTGTATCACTGACATATTACAAGACCATGTCATAACACAAATACAAATGAACCATTACTGGAGGGCCAACAATAAGGACTCGGAACAACCAGAAGAAGTCGTTAATGATTTGGTGCCATTTGCCGTTTCTTTACCTGCCGTGAGAGCCATTTCGAATGTCATCACTGGCAGCACTTCGTACTGTATGTCGGGATCCTGAAAAAATCAAATTAATTTAAAATGTTTTTATTTCGCAAGGCCTGATAAAATAAACAATGGTTTAAAGTGTAATCTATTCTCACTGGGCGTTGACAGGTTCTTGCGCTGAGGCGCTGTGCGTGCATGTTGAGGACCTAAAAACAAAATATTATTCAGCAAAGCAAAATAATTAAGATGAAGCAAAAAGGTGAGCATTAGCTGTCCTCGAGGACCAACGCTCCACAAAGCCAGACAAGCCTTAAAAAACAGTCTGTGTGTAAATCATTACCAAAGAGGACTGGATTGGTGGAGCAAGAAAAAAAAAATAACTCAAAAAAGTGACCTCATAAGTACTCACTAGCTTTGTTCGGTTGGATAGTGTCCTGAACGGTAGGGATCTTCTGTGGAGGTGTTGGATAGTTCAGCAGCTGGACACCTATACAGGTGATTTAAAGAAAAAACAAGCATGCACATTTTAAATAAAAAGGCTTACTAAAAAGATCATTACTGTTGAAAGTGGAATTAAAAATCTACAGAAAACCATTACCTCTGAGGCTCTCTTCTTCATCAGAAGTTAATTCTGCAAAAAGGTTCACAAACATTGATGTTAAAAAAAGTTTTAAACTCAATTATTGTCAGCAGATTACAAATGTATAAATCACTTGAGAATGACAAACATACTGCTTTTTTTTTGTGCTGAAACATTTACCTTCCATCCAGCTTCAACAGTCTAAGAAAAACAAAAACAAGCCCCCCCCCCCCCCCCCCCCCCACACACACACATAAAAGAAACTGTCCAGTTGACCTGTTTGAAAAATATTCTGCACTCCTCCAATCGCACAGCAAATGCATTTCACTAGTCCTAACTTAATATCAGGGAAGCAACGGCGTTGTAATACACTAAGGAATTAAGTTTTCCTGCAATGTTGGTGTAAAATCCACAAAATAGGAATGCTTCCGAAATACAACACGGCCATTGCTGTTGGCTGGTCAGCGCATGCGTGTTAACGGAGACGCAAGGGTGGACTAGGCCTTGACTCCTCCAAAAGAAAAACAAACAAACATAAAACCTCGTAACCTCGTAGCATATGCGGCTTATTTAAAGACTAGAATAACTTTATTTTCTAACCTGTAGTGTTCTACTTGCCTTAAATCGTCTGCTGTAGTGACGTAAACACAAGTTTTAGCTCACGTTAGCTTAAACGTTAGCTAAACTATCTAGCAAGCCACAGCAGGTAAGAGAACAAAGCTAAAACATAAAACAGACAAAACATAACCAATTACCTTCAA